AGGGTCAGTTCACCTGAGGTCAACACCATGTGCGAACAGGGTCAGTTCACCTGAGGTCAACACCATGTGCAAACAGGGTCAGCTCACCTGAGGTCAACACCATGTGCAAGCTCGGTGGGTTCAGTGGAGCTCCGCATAATCCTAATCGTAGACATGCCTGGCAACAGGGCTGCAAGTGCTTCCAGCCCCGAGGGGCACCGCACACCGGAGCCCGTGCGCTCAGCCCCTGCAGGGCTGCTCAACCTGTCAGGCCCAGATGTGCAGCCCTGGCCCTTTGCGGCTGCCTCTGCTGTGCAGCCCTCAGGATCCCGGGAGGCCTCTGCCCTGGCCCGGAAGCCGTCTGCTTGCTATGTTCTTGCATTGGCCCTCCTCTGCACCCACACCGAGAAGGCTTTTTTTGGGGACCCCAGTCCTAGTAAGTCAGGGCCACCTTTATGACTCACTCACGAGGCCTTCCTCCTCAGTGCTGGTCTCCCAATGGTCGCCAGGGCCGCAGGCACCTGCACTGAAGGGCATATCAGTCTGCCACAACTCTCCGCAGTAAACAACGAAGATCAGCAAGGCTACAGAAGGAAGAGGCTGAGCCCCGGGTCGCAGGCACAGCGGCTTTGTGGAGTGGTTCATCGAACACCGAGGTACACGTTCCTTCAGGCCCCCAAGGGGCGTTCAGCAAGATGGGCCCTGTCTCAGCTTCGAAATAACCAGAAATTATAACTGTGGTAAACAGGAACTTCTCTGGAAACTCCAAAATACGTGGGAAATGAACATCATTCTAGACAATACAAGGCCTAGGAGGTTATTCCAGAAAACTAGAAATTACTGACAGAGTAAAATAAACAAGAAAAAACCATCCTTAGAGAGAAGCATGTAGAAATAATTAATTGTTTTAGGAACGTTTAATTAGAGAAGAATAAAGAAATGCTTACATTCAAAACAGAAGGAAACCTGGAAAGTTTATTTTTAAAAAAGAAAGGAACTAGAAACAATAATCTGTTTCCACCTTAAGAGATTATTTTTAAACAGCAAATTAAACAAAGCTGAAGAAAAAAAATAAAAATAAGAGAATCAATGAAATTGAATATAGGAAGACAATTGAAAAATCAATGAAATTAAAAACAAGGTCTTTGAAAGTATCAATAGAGTTTACAAACCTTTAACCAGACCAATATGTGTGTGTGTGTGTGTGTGTGTGTGTGTGTGTGTGTGAGAGAGAGAGAGAGAGAGAGAGAGAGAGAGAGAGATGTATTGATGTATTACCAGCTGAGCAGTTCAGAAGAGACACCAAAGAGTGTCAGCAAATTTGGAATTAGGAGAACTTTCTTAACTTGACAAAGAACATCTATTGCAAAGCCTACAGCCAACACTGCCTTCGTGTGGAGACTGGACACTGTCTCCTGAGATGGGCAAAGTTCTGCTCTCTGAACCGTGCCAAGTCCCAGTGAGCAGCACAAAGCAAGAGAGAGAGGCTCAAGGCCAAAGACTGGAAAGAATAAAGCTGTCTCTGTACCAGACATCGCTGCTTATGTTTGAAATCCCCGTGAATTCACAGCAAGGTCACAGAGCACGGGCTGATGGACAGACTGACCTCTTTGTTACCCACGGGCACACCAGGACCACACACAGAGCTCCGTGCTTCTCATCAGGCCAGAAGAAGTGGCCTGTGAGCCTTTAACCAAACGTGAGTGGATAATGAGCGAAAGGTTGACCAATTAGTCTACCAGAGAGCATGAAATGGTGCTCAGTGCTACGAACCTGGAAGGGAATAAGAGGTAAAACCCAACGGACGTCACAGGTTGTGTGGCTCGTTGTCAAGTGTCTGTGAGGGCCCGCTGCACCTGCGCACTCTGTCCCTCACGTCTCTGTGCCCCCCTTACTCTTCTGGATTCCAAAAAGATGGGTATTCAGCAGATGGAGAGGCAGTGTCTGAACACAGGTAGGAACACAGGTGTGTGCCAGCCTGCCCCACCGGTGGGCCAGGTGTGGCCACTGCAGAACTTCAAAGGTTCTGGGCAGGAAAGAGGCCATGAGCACAAACAGGTGAGTCAGATCCATTGTTGCTCATATCTGGCAATCAGTTGGGTACAAAGTGAAAACACTTATTTAATGAGTGAAAGTGTGTGGCTAATTGGATTTTTAAAGGCTATGACTTCCTGTTTCCTGATACTGAAAGGGGGCCTCAGAATTTTTTTTTAATCATGGAAGCGGTCGGTCCCTTTCTGCAGCAGCAGCGCAGGGCTCTGACAGAGGGTACTGGGAGGGATTTGCAGGGACTCTAGCAAAGGGACAGGACCTACCCAGAAGCCTGTGGAGGTTGGGTGGGGGTGGTGCGAGCATCGTGGAGCGCTTCCTATTTAAGGTTTGTCGAGCTCATTTTCAGGCTCTTCTTGTGTCCTGACACGTTATTGAATTCTGCCTTTATTTAATTGATCGGTCTCAAAATGGAGTTGCTTGTTCCCGGCCTCTGCTTCCCAGAGGGCCTCTGTGGTGTAGACCTTGCATGGAATGTTCATCCACAAACACACTTAGCTGTCTTTGGAGACTTGCTCTCTTTTGTTATTTAAGCTGACAAACATTTTTCTCTCCTGTGGCTGCTGTGACACATTACCACAGACCTACTCCCTTAAAGCAATACAGATTGATTGTCTCACAGTGCTGGGTGCTAGGTGTCCATCAGGAACAGTGCCAATGGCTAATGCCTGTGATACTAGCTAGAGACTGAGATCCAGAGAATTATGGTTCAAAACCAGCCAAGGCAGAAAAGTCTGAGAGATTTCACCTAAAAAAATAACCAGCACAAAGCAGGGCTGGAAGCATGGCTCAAGTGGTAGAATATTAGTCAAGCAAGGCCCTAAATTCAAACGCCAGTACTGCCAAAAAAGCAAGAACAAACAAATGAAAAAAGAAAAGACTGATGTCACGGAGCAGGAAAAGAAGCTGTACCTGCAGCCCCAGGAAAAGTGCTTCCACGTCTGCTGTGACCCCGGGTGCTCCAGTCTTGGTCTATCCTGTGTGTTTCTGTCCCTCACTGGACTGCATGTGGACCACCCAGAAAATCAGACCAAACACCCCTCAGGATCCCCAAGTCGATGGCATCATCTGTTATGGATAATGATATTGAGGTGTTGGGAGGGGTGTGTGTGTGTGTGTGTGTGTTGGTGAGAAAAACATCTTCCTCAGTTTGGATTGCTCTAAGGACATGTGTGTGTGTGTGTGTTGTGTGTGTGTGTGTGTGTGTGTTGGTGAGAAAATCATCTTCCTCAGTGTGGACTGCTCTAAGGACGTGTGTGTGTGTGTGTGTGTTGGTGAGAAAATCATCTTCCTCAGTGTGGACTGCTTTAAGGACATGTGTGTATGTGTGTGTGTTGGTGAGAAAAACATCTTCCTCAGTGTGGACTGCTCTAAGGACATGTGTGTGTGTGTGTGTGTGTGTGTGTGTGTATGTTGGTGAGAAAAACATCTTCCTCAGTTTGGATTGTTCTAAGGACATGTGTGTGTGTGTGTGTGTGTGTGTGTGTGTGTGCTGGTGAGAAAAACATCTTCCTCAGTTTGGATTGTTCTAAGGACATGTGTGTGTGTGTGTGTGTGTGTGTGTGTGTGTGTGTGTGCGCTGGTGAGAAAAACATCTTCCTCAGTTTGGATTGCTCTAAGGACGTGTGTGTGTGTGTGTTGGTGAGAAAAACATCTTCCTCAGTTTGGATTGCTCTAAGGACATGTGTGTGTGTGTTGGTGAGAAAAACATCTTCCTCAGTGTGGACTGCTCTGAGGACACATGCTTTGCTTTCCCTGCACTCTGGCAATCGCAAGCCGGGGTCCAGGCCCAGCAGCTCAGATCCCGTCTCTGCCAGGCCGAGGCTGCCCTCCTCCTGGCCCCAGACTCTGTCTCGTGCTCTGTCATGTCCCCAGCCTGGAGGGATGCAGGTATTTACACAAAATAGCTGTTCCACGCATGCTATCCAGGGAATGGTGAACTTCATTGTAACTTTTATTTGTTTTCCTCTCTCTCTCTATACACATATATATCTGTATAGATCTGTCTAGCTATACAGAGATAGATAAATAAAGGTTTTTAATATATAAAAGGGATTCTTGTGTATATGGTTATATCCTAGCGTTTCAGTTTAACATCGTTCGTGTAACTTGGGTGCAGTCAGCGCTCCACAGCCCCGGCCTCACTGGTCCGGGCCCCGGCTGAGCTCACAGCCCCGGCCTCACCTGTGCGGCCCCGGCTGAGCTTCCACGGCCTGCACCGATTCTCTGCCTCTTCCTTGGGGGAAGACGCGTCTCAGTGTTCCAGTATCGGTGCTGTTGCACCGCCTGGCGCTTGTTCTGCCCAAGTGGGGCAGAAGCGGGGTCAAAGTGGAGGAGGTGAGTGGGGGCCCCGGCCGGCGGGAGGCTGCCCGCGTGAGGACTCGGCAGGGGCAGGGCACAGCACCGAGGGCTGGGCGGGGACCAGGGACCAAGCCCCGGCAGGTGGGGAGACGGCTGGGAGGGAGAGGCAGTCACTGGGGGCCTCGGGGCAGCAGGGACCAGGCCAGGCTCCGGCAGACCCACAGGGGGACCGGTACCAGGTCAGGCCAGTCAGGTCAGTCAGGTCTCCCTTCCTCATCTGGGTACCAGCAGGTAGACCAGACCCAGACCCAGGTGAGGTCTCCTGGCCCCGCCCCCTGGCGGTGGCCCCGCCCCCATCCCTTTCCTCCTCCCCCTATTCCATATCTGCGTGGGAGCAGTGGAGAACCCCTGGCCCCGCCCCCTGGCGGTGGCCCCGCCCCATCCCGTTCCTCCTCCCCCTATTCCGTATCTGCGTGGGAGCGGTGGACTCCTGACCCCGCCCCCTGGTGGTGGCCCCGCCCCCTCTTACGTCGTTCCCGACCCCTCCCTTCCGGACCACACGTTGGCGGCCACGCCCACCCAGGTCCCTCTTGTGCGCAGGCGCAGCGCGCGGCCGCCGAGTTTGAAAACATGGCGCCGGGCCCGCGGCTGGTTCTGTGCGAGGAGAAGGTCCGGGAGCGTAGTGGCCTCGGTCCCCACCGTGACCTGGGTGCGCGGCCGGCGGGCGGGAGGACGGGCGCACCCGGGCGGTGGCGGCGGCCTCCTGAGAGGCCCTCTGAGGAGGCCGAGTCTGGAAGTGCGGCCTCTTCCCTCCCCAAACGGTCG